AAAAGTCTCAACAGTCTGAGCGCTCTTTAAATTCTCAGGTAAACTGTTCCACAGTTTTGGAGCAGCAACCGCAAACGCCCGATCACCTCTGGATTTCAGTTTGGATCTGGGGACATCTAAGAGGAACTGGTTGGTAGACCGGAGTGCTCTTACTGGTTGGTTGGTACGCCCAACCGACTGGTTCTTTGGTGCGCCCCTCCTCCATGTCGGCCATCTTCCTTGTTGACAGTCTTGTCAAACTGGTTGAAAACAACAAAGTCCATGCTCAATAATCCAGGTATAAAATCCAACATTTTTCAGTCAGGTCATCTGGACAGTTTCTTTTTGTGCTGAAACGTTTCGCCTTCGATCTGGAAGGCTTCATCAGTCAAGGAAACACACAACAAAACTGATTCTTCCTCCAACAGCTTAATCCAAAGTGGAACAAGCCAGTTCTGCTTGTGATTAGATGGTCTCTTTGGTACACCCCTCCTCCATTGCCGGCCCTCTTCCTTGTTGACAAGACTGTCAATATGTCCGATATACATATATGACTATATATAACGATTAATAAAAGTGGCTTTTCTGATTTCCATTTTGGATGAGAAAGACTGAGGGACAGTGATTCAAAAGAATCATAACTAATAATTGGTTTGGCATTAATCAATAATCCTGACTGAAAAATAGAAGCTACTCCTCCACCTCGGCCAGTTGTTCTAGGAACATGAAATTTTAAATAATTAACAGGAGTGGATTCATTTATACCAACAAAATCCTCCTGTTGTAGCCAAGTTTCTGTCAGACACAATAAATCAATATGATGATCAGTTATCAGTTCATTAACTAACAGGGATTTAGAGGAAACAGATCTGATGTTCAATAATCCACATTTAATGATTTTATGATTTTGCTCTGGTAAAGTAACTGTTTATTTTAATCAGATTTTTATGGTTTATATTTTTAGAGCTGATTTTTGGTTTATTTAATTTGAGCCGTGGGCGAGTTGACACTGTTTCAATGTGGGTGTGGGTGGGTAACAGAGGAGAAGCAGCAGAGAGGGGTGGAGGACTACAACTCTGCTTCCTGGACTGGACCCTGGGTTGTCAATAATTTGGGGGATAAACAAAATCAGCCATATTTCTAGAAAGAAGAGCGGCTCCATCCAAAGTGGGATGGATGCCATCTCTCCGCATCAGACCAGGTTTTCCCCAGAAAGAACTCCAGGTATCTATGTAGCCCACGTCGTTGTCAGAACACCACCTGGACACCCAGCGGTTGAACGATGACATACGGCTAAACATGTCATCGCTGGTCAGGTTGGGGAGGGGGCCGGAGAAAACTACAGAGTCCGACATGGTTTTAGCGAAGTTACAAACTGAAGCAACATTAATTTTAATGGCCTCTGATTGGCGTAACCGGGTGTCATTACCGCCGACTTGAATAACAGTATTACTGTATTTAGCCTTAGTCTTAGTCAGCAGTTTCAGATAAGATTCAATGTTGCCCGCTCTGGCCCCCAGAATGCATTTAACTATGGCCGCTGGAGTCCCTAAAGCCACATTTCGGACTATGGATCTGCCAATAACCAGGGTCTGCTTCTCAGCGGATTTATCACTCAGCGAGGAAAATCGACTAGAAATGTGAACGGGTCGGTGGTGAACTGGGGGCTTAGCCTTAACACTGGGGACCTGGCTAGCTACTGGTTTTTCTACAGCGCGGAGCCGAGCTTCCTGGTCATACAGCCTCTCTTCCAAAGCTACCATAAAACTACATTTGCTACATGCATCATTACTGCTAAAGGAGGCAGAGGAATAACTAAACATCTGACACAAGGAGCAAGTGAAAACAGAGGAATCCGGGATAGAAGAAGCAGTCATGCTAAGCTAATGCTAGCAAGAGCTAGCAGATCCCAATACACCATTAAAGCCGAGAAGTGTTAAAGGATAAAAGGTGTTTTAAGCACTATCCAACAGTAGAAAAACAACTGTACTAAGTGTGTTTGTGAACTAGAATGAAAAACTGTGCAAAAGACAAATAAATCCGGAAAACAAGAGATGACTCGAGCAAAGAATTCACTCGAGCTACCAACAGACAAGCAGAAAGTGACACAATACGTCTCAATTCAATTCAATTAAATTCAGTTTATTTATATAGCGCCAAATCACAACAAGTATTCTCAGGGCACTTTACAGACACATTCATATACATAAAAGCCAATTAGTAAAGTTCTTTGTCTAAGGAGGCCAGCAGACAAGTTGAATCTTGGCTTCATTGCAGTCTCCCATCCTGAGCAAGTTTCACCACGAACGTGCAATGTCACCAGCTCCTCCTTGCAGCAGCAGGCTTGAAATGTACTGGGATGTTGTGTTTGTTAAAAATCCTTCTGAAATTCTCTGATACTCCAGTAACATAAGGGATGACAATGTTTTTCTGTCTGTTGTTCTCCTTTTTCTGTTTAGTGGTGTGTTTTGTAGATTTTCTCGCTGACTTGACAAACTCCCATTTAGGATATCCACGTTTGGAGAGCTTCTTTGATGCGTTTCTGTTCCTTTTCCTCCCCTTCTGTCTTTGTGGGGACGTGTTCAGCCCGATGCTGTAAAGTTCTGATGACAGAGAGTTTGTGTTCCAGTGGATGGTGAGAGTCAAACAGAAGATAGTGATCTGTGTGCGTTGGTTTTCTGTAAACTTCAGAAACCTTAACAACCCCTACTGTGAGGTGTGATAGGTCAATCTGCATATGCATGTATGTATATATCTTACCTCAGCTTTATTACTCGAACCCCGCACTCCCTGTTCTTTGAATTGAGAAAGCTTCTCATATGAGAAGCGAAATGTCTTCTGTTACGAATAAAGTCCAGTTGTTTTGGTCTTGAACTTTTCTGAACTAAAATTGAATAGTTTTCATTTGATACTATTTCTATTTTAACATGTGATTCTTGACCTGCCATTGTGTATCTGCTCCTACCAAACCCAGCTGGTTGAAGCAGATGGCCGCTTGTCCTGAGCCTGGTTCTGTTAAAGGTTTCTTTCTCATGATGGAGTTTTTCCTTTCCACTGTCGCCTTCATGCTTGTTCAAGATGAGAGTTCTGTGATGGAGTTAAACTCAAAGCAGTCTGCTCCTCAAATAAATAATGTTAAATTATTATTTTTATATATGAATGTTTCTGTTAATATTTTTATATATGAATGTTGCTGTTCAGTGCCCTGAGATGACTTCTGTTGTGACTTGGCGCAATATAAATAAACTGAATTGAATTTAATTGAATGTTTGACAACCCATTAAAATAGGTTACACCATATCATCTATTTTATTCAAAAAATTATGGGGGAGGAGGACCTACAAGCTCCCTCCCACACACACACATACACAGCACCACCACTACCATTTGAGTTCATGCATTGATCAGTTTACAAATTAAGCCCTGGTCAGGACTTCAGAGTCAGCAGAGAAGGCTGAGCTATGTCATAGTCTCTGCAAGACGAGTTTGTTTTTTAACTGACAGGAACAATAACCGATCAGATTTCATTCAACCTTTATTTAGACTTTATTTAGAATGCTGATGTAGAGTGGGTGGGACCAAAGCATGGGGCTCTAAGCCTTCAGGAAGTCCCTGTAAAGTTTTTTGTTAACCACATAAAATTTGCGATGCATTCAGATGCAACCTGTAAATTAAAAAACCCACACAGAAATTGTAGTTGCTCTAAAAAATGATGTTTGAATATCAAATTTAGGTTTACATTCATAATTCTCAATATTACAGTTGTGTTTTGGCTTCATTATATTTGGTCCACGACTTCATAGCATCTTTGCCGTTAGCATTTATCAAGTTGCTATAACATTATTTCCTAACTGAAGGACTCTTATGGTCATGGCTCGTCACTGGTTGTTGAAAATTTGACTGCAGCACTTGTTTTACAAAAGATGACAGTTCTTTTATTTTCATCCCTCTTTGTAAGCCATGTAAAGCCATGTAAGAATCATGTAACTGCCTGTCTAAATGTAAAACTCGTGAATGGATTTTATTCAAACTTCCCAGCAATATTCATGGGCTGTATGTACTTTAACTGTAACTCAACAGGAATCAAGGTGTTAAAAGCCACTTAGTTTCAGACTAATTTGATGTTTATGTGTCTTCCTCCCTCAGTGATGCCCTCAGACGCCTCCACCAGCCCTCTCCTCCAGCAGCAACCCACTTCCCAGCAGACTGCTCCCCAGCTGCCCGGATCCTCTGTTCCAACCGGGGTGCTCATAGCCCCCGTTGGCCCGGTGCCAGGGGCCCCTGCCACCGCAGTCGCCTCTGAGGAGGCCCAAGCAGGAAACGGTCGGTGCATCCCAACGGCCTGCGTTAGGCCCACCCACCCGCTCCGAAGCTTTACCAACCCACTGCTGCCCCCACCAATGGGAACCATCGACCCCAAGGTTTACACTTCCATGATACCACAGTCCAGTGAGTCCACCTTCCTTCTGAAATGAAAAAACATCCATGTCCCCAACTTCTCAGTCCATTCCTTAGGACTGTGCAAGCCAAAGTCTTCACAGAAAAACACATTTCAAAACTTGGTTGCAACATTTTTATTTCAAGGTGCTCGTTGTGTTTTTATTGACAACTGGACAAGAATAATTAAAACATGGCTGGAGAACAAATGATGGGTTTTAATTGCAGGCTTTCACAACAAATATAATGGTTTTTAAACTTACATGATCGTGTCAAATATGACGGTCCTGGGGGTCGGCGGCCATTTAGTGCGAATATTGACACAATTTGAAATAAATTTAGAAGATTTTACTTTAGAATTGTCTGAGAAGATCTCAACTGAATTGATAAAGAACATTATGAAGATCAGACAAAGTAAGAGTTTGAGTATTGGAGTGCTTACCACAGACAATCTAAAGCTAACTGCCAAGGTCCAGGATCGTCTTCAGAACTATGTACCAGTGTGTTTATATTCCTGTTTTCAGAACAACAAGGTTTTTATGTCACTCTGTCTTTCTGCTTTGGACTGGAATGATGGCAGAGTTATGCAGGTGGTGTGTGGTAGGGCTCCCTGAAAGCTCATCGGTGGGCTCATTAGAAGTCCATCTTTGGGGGAAGCAGCAGGCTTGCAGGTTCTGACAGGGGGGTTGGCTCAAGATAGTGGTTGCAGATCTTAAATGATATCATCTGAGAGACAGGCAATCTTGTTTTTGGAAGTATTTCATGCTCCAATGGTAAGAATTTAATAAAACTCACTGGATAACCATTGACAACCTGTTGACCTTTGGAGGCAAACCAATTCAAGATGGCTGCCACAGTTATTTGACCGTGAGCACAAAATGTCTCTAACTCAGTCAGTTTTACAGATAATGAGATAAAATTTGTGTAGTAGTAACTGAGACTGATCCCAGCGAATATTCTGAGTGACAACATCCCTTGAGATGGTAAATTAAATTACAGTAGTCCCTCATTTATCACGGGGGATCCGTACCCTGAAGCACTGTGATAAGTTAAAAATCGTGAAGTAGGAATAGTAGTACAAGAAATAAATAGTTATATATATATATATATATATATATATATATATATATATATATATATACACACA